CGGCGCGCCCCCTCCCCGGACAGCCGCGGCCGGTGGCTCGATACGTCTCCCTGTCCCCGGAGCGGCGGCGCGCCCCCTCCCCGGACAGCCGCGGCGGGGCCGGCCGAGGCCGGCAGCCGGATCAGGCTGAGGTCTATCAGCGGCCCTATCGCTTGCCCGCCTTCGCGGAAGGCCAGAGGAAGAGGGAGGGGTGCTGACAGGACGGCGTGGTGACGGTCTGTAGTCCGTCCCGGACCAACAGTACCTGCTGCGGCCAATTCTCAACGGCTGGTACTTCTTAACCAGCGTCGCCCCAGCCCCATGCAAGGCCGGTGGCCAACCTGAACCTTCATAACATCAAGCAAGAAATTTTCAAAGTAGCTCTGAGATCAGTTTCAGCGGACCGAAAATGGCAATAAGTACTGCATCCAATATAATGAGGAAGACTTCCTGGCCCTCGTTTTGTAGGCATTACACAGCGGGCGCACAGCAGTGATGGCCATTGTGAATAGTTGTATGTTCTAGGACACGCTTGCGCACTTGAGCGCAAAGCGATTGGCCAAAGTTGTGTACGACTCGTGTTGTGCCATAATTTATCCACTGTTATTTCAACAATCTTCTTAATTGTCAAACACTTAATGCAGGTAAAACCTTTTCCCATGAGTGACCGCAGCGGTTCCCATACGTTTTTTTTTCGAGAGCTATGTCCGAACAGCTTCGAGCATGGTACTGGAATTTTACATAGCTCAGTAAACGCAATCTTACAAATGTAAAAATGTATAACTTGTAATATTGATGATGCATGAGCTGGAATATTTGTATTGACACATCGGCGTGATGCTGCTCATACGTGACAAATGACGTTTATTTCTCCCAGGAAAGAGATGGTGCATCATTTATATCAAACACATCCTTTTGAAGGCGCGTAACTATTGGTTCGCTTGCTTTTGCAATACTAGTCATCCAGGTCAAGCTAGGTCAAACTGCGTATTTGTAACCAAATTTGACCAGACTTGAAGATCATATGATTTGAACCGTAACGTATATGCTTTACATCTTTGAAAAGTATGCATAAGGTTGTTTTCCACATTGATGTGGACTGCTTAGTTTCTTGATACCTATGACCAGACTGGCCATAGAAGCAAATCACCTTCACCGTACGCGCACAATGGCCTCGACGTGGACGCCTTGTTAGACTCCAAACCACCCAACCGCCTTTACACTTTTGACCTGGCATGAAATATCAACGGTTACACCTGTGAATGTTTGTAGGCGCCAATCTAAGAGAGGTTTGCGAGAGATATTTGATGCCGAGCTATTTTTCAGTGTTGCTACGCGTTTGTTTCTTGAGATGACAGGCGGGGCGTCTGTAAAGACGCCCGCCTGTCAGCCTGTCAAACCTGATCAGCCAGTCAAAGGTGACCTTTAACAAGATTCATACACGCCTGTTACGGTTGTTTAGGCCGTTTTTCCCGGGTCTGTCTCTTGTCTTGCTGTAGATATATTGCGGGCTCCTGAGGCACCACTGGCGTTGTCCATGCCTGTGCTACTCGGCCGTGTGGCGCTGACCCGGCCGCCGCGGTTCCCGTGCGAAGGAGCTTAGCGCCAGTGGCCCGATCGGCTCGACCAATCGCGTGTCTCGACCAATCACGCGTGGGGTCAAGTTTCTAAGACAATGTGCGATGACAACAGAACGACAATCCAAGTAACAATGTGCGCTGCACCCGGTCGGCGCGTTGCTCCCGCAGACTGAAGACAAATGCCTTGTTGAAGGGAATGTTTCGCATTTGGAGATATTGAAGTAATCATCCGATATAATGAAATAAGCCCGCTTATAACTATGAGCATGCTTAAAATCGGAAAAGCTGCTCTTGGCAATATAACTTCTCTGCTTGGTAAACATGCTCCTCAATACGTCATTGCTTGATTGCGTCATCGCATCCTGGGTAACATTGATTGCGAGCCAATGCACGGCTGCCATGGCTGGAAATCGTGTTCACGATCGCTTAATATGAATGACTCGACAATAATGTTTGTTTCGACCTTGAGAGACACGTGGCTAACAGAACGGTAGGATTTGAATGGCAACAGTATGGCGTTATGGTTGCCTGGGCTACCTTGAGAGGGTTTAAGTCTTAAGAAGGACAGGGCTGTGAACTGCACCGAATGATGTTGACGATGACTATTTTAGTTCAAAACCCCCTAGAAATGTGGAACACTTTCTTCAAGCCAACGTAAACCTGGGGGCGTTTTGCATATATTTTTTGTCCGGAATTCCCGGTTGTCTCAGCGGACCGTGAAGGCATCGTGTTTTTTTTTATTTTTGACGCACTGAGATCCTTTCGAACACGGGAAACTTCTGAGTGGCCTTGTCGCAAATTGCGCCCTATCATTGCCTGTCAACTGCTGCTTCACAGATTCCAGATCCGAATTCACCTCACGCACGGCAAACAGTTCATAGGTACAAGCCCCCAAACCGCCCAGGGATGCAAAAACACTGGAAAACAAAGAGGATCGCGGATTAATGAAAGCGATGGGTCGCCGGCCAAAGACCGACCAATACTTACACAGACTCGTGTAAGCAAACTACTACTATCACAAACATCAGCATGGTGAGACGGAGAGGCACGTCACGGTCAGGGTCCGATCGCCATGTTAAATACGTCTGGAAGGTCTCGTTTGCTTAATGTTGATGTCCATGCAATGTCATTGGGAATCATTCCAGTACTGACTGGGTGCACCCTGAACTGCCCCTCCCCCCCCCCCCCCGCCAAACATACAGTCGGCACGTTCAAGCGCGCACCGGCGGCAGACAGTCCTGGCTGCGCTATCAGGGGTGACACAAGCTTTTTTGGACACTGCTAGGTACGATCATTGGCAAATTTATTCGACATTCCAAGGAACGTGTGCAAAATGCTGAGCTCATTTGCAACCCACAGGCGCGATATTTGGCGATATGCAACGGGCGATAAGTTAAAATTACATTTAATGAGATGTGGTCACTTCTACGCCCGGCGCAGGTCGACCAAATTTGCGCCGAGTCTTTGACCTCTAATTTTTAAAACCTTTAATCGATTTCACCTTACCAGCGCACCTTTAAGCTGATGTGCATTCCAGCGAAATGATTGGCGAACCAACCCAGTGAAGCCCGTGCCGTCTTGCTGGAGCCACCCCCTGCCCGACAGATCCCGTGAAGCCGTCTGAACGCCGCCCAAAAAGGTATCAGTATGGTAGCGATGTGTCGCTCCGCTGTCGTGTGTCGTGCTGACAGGATACTCATCCTCGCCCGCAAAGCATCGTGTGCAAATCTCGAATTGACGAATGTCTGATGCGACTGATAATTAGCATTGTTCTTGCATCATGTTTTGCAATTGAATGGTCATGTAAATGCTACCGGCCTTCATAATGCGAAAATGGACTTGTCGCTGTTGAGTAAAACATACGTTTTTATCTGAACAACCCTGCGTAGAAGGCGGCTCTACACGGGTGCCGACTGTTTATTTCATATTTCTAAAACTCCTGTGCCACCCTTACCCACGCGTCACAGCCGGGATACCTGGTTCAGTGCTGTGTATCCGTCCACGGAAAATAAGGAATACGTTAACACATTTACAGTTCTAGGACTGGAGGCCTAGCAAATGCACACACCCTACCCATATTTGGGGTATGAGGATTGTCTCTCAAGCAGCCATGGGGCGTGCGGCACTGCAATGTGATGTGGTTGGAGTAAGCATGTGCTTCTCAAAGAGTTCGTCCTCTGGAGACATATCTGGGATAACCACCCACTCTGAACAGCGCTGGTCTAGTGAGTCCCGACCCAGTCGTATGTCGGACTAACGGCAGCACTTTGCAGCGGGAGCTTAACGTGCCGAAATGCGCTGCATTCCGTCCTGCCCTCTGACGTTACGTGGCCACTAGCGCAGCCGCTGCCGCCGGTCGCAGGCTATCCTAGTCAGAGATCAACAGTCAACGTCTAACGCGGCGGAGCCTACAGATTTATCTAAATCTAAGGACGATTTAAAAGACAGTTCGGCGGCGTAGCTTCCACTTGATTGCATCATAGGAAGGGCGTCGAGGAATAGAACAGTCACATTTCGTACGGCGTGTGCAAGCGAGGCATGTTGGGTTAGGCAGCATACTTTCTAGAACTATGCTTTCTCTTGTCTTTACGACCAACCATAAACATAAAAGTGCTCGTTCTCAGTATCCTCATAACCGCTCCAAATTGAAAGTAAAGCGCTCAAAGCGCTGCGAATATTAAGCTCTCGTAAGGATGCACGCCGCACTCAAGACATCTGGCCTTCTGTCCACAGGTCTTGCTATGCCCAAAACATTGGCAGTTGAAGCATGGAATTGTGACATCCTGACTGCGTACCGGAGATAACCGCCTGAGGGCCTCTCGGAATCGCGTGGTTTCCAGAATCAGATCGGGCAGGGTGGTGTCTCGATGATGTCCATCTCGGAGAGGTTGGCTGTCGGACGTGCCGCACGTTCCCCGTTGAGTCCCGCCGAAATCTTCCGACCCATCATACAACGGAGCCCACGAGCAAAGACCGTACCTGTTGGACGTTGCACGCATGCCGGACAAGTTTTGACCGCCTCGCTACAGAATTCATTAGTTCGACGTAAGCCATTACTGTGCACGATTGATGATTCCATTCCTAGTGAGCTATTGACTGGCGCTTCCATTGGCTGATGGTGTGGGTCGCAGATTTTCTGAATTTGTATGAATTGCCAAAAGACACAGATTTTTGCACAATGAAACATTCTCTTTACATGGTTGCACGACCCCGGTGTGTCCAGTGCAGGCTCAGGGTGGTGGTCACTGGTCCCTTCCTCCTTCCGTACTTCACCAACTGGGAAGCGGGAAAGGACGGACAAGAGGTGAAGTATAAATCTGTTTAGAGAAGATGAGACACCTAAACGGATGAAAACGACGATGAAAAAGCAGTAACTCCTGGCAATATGCCACAACACGAGAGAACCTCCGACCTGGGTCCTGCCAAACACGCGCCCATGGATCGGATTAGGCAGCGGGGTTTCCCGCTCGATAAAATTTATTGACATGAAGCGAGTTGGCCTGTCCATACCGTTTCACTCGGCATAACGGCTAGGTGTACGTATACCACCTGCCTATCTCTCTAGGCCCGTGGTTTTTCTGTCATTCGCGGACAAACGAAGATCAGACTGGCATTCACTGGCTGATTGGATGATAAGCACAAAATGTCCACTATAAGCAATGCGGAAATTAATTATAAAACACACATAGTTCACGTACTTCAGCCATAGCGCACTCGCCGCAGTAGGCACATGACACACAGCGATGGCATTCAGGCGCGAGCGGCTTTTGAAACGCTCGCAGACAGGAGCGTCCTGTGGCGTTGTTTGACGTTGTTTTACGTATTCATTGAAATTTCATGACTATTCGCTTTGTTTCCCAAAAACATGTGGAAGTGTGAGTTCATAAAATATGTGGGAGTGTGATTTTTGTGTGAGTGGTTGAGTCGTGGGGAAAAATCTATAAATCTTGCGTCTATACCTTGGGCATAAGAATGTTTCCTCCTGGTGTGTAAATGCACAAAATCACGTCATCTGTGTTCAATATCAGATACGACGGTTAACTCATTACCTAAAAAAGAGGCTAACTTCATTATCACCCCTAAGAGTGGAAGAGGCTCAGCACCTAAGTACGGCTCGTTCGTTGCCCCAGTAGCCACACCAGTAGCTACACACTGAACTAAATGAATTCCTCTTAAACATATTATAAACCGCTCCCCTTAGACACCATCACCACTACTTTAATTGCTCTACAACCTACTCATTACAATAGGTAGCCTGCATCAATGCTAATCACAGCTGTAGAAAGCCCGGGCATGAAATCCACTCAGTCATAGAGTGCCATTAGTTGCACCCAGTGCGCGGGCGTACTCCCTCGCGCCAGCGCTCTGGACTGTCAGGCGCGGCAGCCAGGCCTGGGTCGGCAGCACACGTGTTACTTGGTGGCCACCCCATACAGGATCGGGTTGATGGGGTCGATGCCCGGTTGAGGCTTGGAACGCGGCTTCATCTTGTTCTCGACCAGAAACACAGAGTGGTGCTCCATAGTGCTGAAGCCGCCTGCCAGCAGCTCCTGTTAACAGGAAGCCGGGCGATGAACGCACCGGGCACATGGAGGCAGCGTCAGAACGACCGTGAACTATCCCCCACCCCCATCCCCTATCCCCCCCCCCCCCCCCCCCACCCCCCCCCCCCCCCCCCCCCCCCCCCCCCCCTCCCCCCCCCCCCCGCAGATCCGCACCACCCAAGCATACAGCACTGGTACACCGGCTAGCATAGTGGCGGCGCGCCTGACTTCGATGTCACCTTTTTCATTCTCGCTCCCACAAGCGTTGTTTTGCAGTAGATGAAAGCTTGAAAATAAACTGTTTCCCGTATACGTCGTACCCCGATAATCGATTCACAACACTCTTCATTCCCCCCCCCCCCGCAGTCTCGATTCACCAGCCTCATGATCATCCCCCAGGAGTTTCTATTCGAGACTTATCATCCGCCTCCCCTCCAGGAGTCTCGATTCACGAGCCTCATCATCCCACTCCTCCCCCCCCCCGCACCATCTACTCACCGACCCCTGACGGGAGCCGGGAGCTCTCCACCACAGCCTGCCAACTCCCGTCCCCGGCCACGGAAGCCTATCCTTTGGGTGCCCATGCTGTGCTCCGCCTCTGCCCCCGCTCACCGCCTCCAGGTCGCAGTTGGCCATGCAGCCGCCGTACAACATGGGCCACAGACCACTGTCGGAGA